GGTTGTAAGTCATAAAACTCAAGAAATTGACTAATCACAGTATTCTCTTAATATTTGACTGTGATTGGTCAATTTCTTGAGTTTTTCGTCTTACAACCTTATGCTATGGCCACCGTAGAATTGCCTTTAAGCGTCATCTACAATGAGATATTAAGGCGTATGTCTTAAGAAATTCACCAAACACAATCGAATATTCCCTTAATACTATACTGTGATTGATCAATTTCTTAAGTCATATGCCTTAAAATCTTATTATAGACGCTACATTAAGCGTCGTCTACAATGAAATTTTAAGGAGAATTATGGCGTAAGATTTAAGAAATTGATCAATTACTCAAGTATTAAGTCAAGTATTAAGAGAATATTCGATTGTGATTGGTCAACTTCTTAAGCTTTACGCCTTAAGTCTCTTTAAAATCTCAGTGTAGACGCTTCAAAAGTCGTTTACAATGGCCGTAGCATAAGGTTGTAAGGCGTAAGACTCAAGAAATTGACAAATCACAGTCAAGTATGGCCGTGTTCCGAAATTGCTGCCAGTTTACTGTCAACACTGAAAATATATAATATACGTAACGTGCACTATAGAATTTGCAGTATACTGATAATAATTTCGTAACGCGGCTTATGAAGGAAATGCTCGGCTGTGATTGAACAATTTCTTTAGGGCTTAAATTATCTGTTGTAAATCGGAATTAAAGATTCGTCTACATGGCCGTAGCATAAGGTTGTAAGGCGTAAAACTCAAGAAATTGACCAATCATAGTCGAGTATTCTCTTAATATTTGAATGTGATTGGTGAATTTCTTGAATCTTACACCGTACAAGCTTATGCTACGACCACTGTGGACGACCCTAAAGCATCGTCTACAACGGCAGTAGAATTAATGAATTAAAGCTGTAACTCCATAAATTGGGCAATCACAGTCGAGAATTCTTTTAATGCATGAATGTGATTGGTCAATTCCTTAAGTTACTGCTTTATTCCATTAATCCTGCTCGCGACGGGGAGTACACGCACTGCTGCACAACCCGCAAACCCCCCCACCCCACCCTTTTGCAAACCCATGCGAAATTCGGAACGATGGTCAATCGGGACCGTGGACAATCGGGACGGTGGTCAATCGTGACCGTGGTCAATCGGGACGGTGGTCAATCGGGACCGTGGTCAATCGGGACAGTGGTCAATCGGGACGGCGGTCAATCGGGACGGCGGTCAATCGGGACGGCGGTCAATCGGGATGGCGGTCAATCGGGACGGGGGTCAATCGGAACGGTGGTCAATCGGGATGGTGGTCAATCGGGACGGTGGTCAATCGGGAAGTGGTCAATAGCAACGTGGTAAATCGCAACGTGGTCAATTTCAACGTGGTCAATCGGGACGGTGGTCAATATTAACGTGGCCAAACGGGTGCCACTCCTTGCGACGCACCAAGTCCGTTCTCGACGGTACCTACGAGAGAGCGGTCGGGCGGCAACTACAGTCCCTGCGCGGCTCGCGACGCTCCAAGTCCGTTCTCTACGGCGGTATCTACGACGTGTAGCCGGGTTGTACCTTGCGAGAGAGCGGTCGACATCTACGGCCTCCGCGCAATTGGCGGATAGTGATAGCGGTAACCACGGGTAGCGGCGCGCTGTCTCTCCTCTCGCCGCGTGCCGGCAGGCAATGTCTAACACGGTGGGTCGTGCTATAGCTCGAGCGCTCGAGCGCTTCTCTCATTCGTCCGACTTCAATAATTAATATTTCGATTGTTATTACAAAAATCGTTACATAGAATAGGATTATTTTATTTAATTTACTGCGTTCTACCATCTTAGAAGTGCATGAGCACATGCTCAAGGACACCGTGCATATATATGTATAAAAAAAAAAAAAAAATATATATATACACGGTGGGCCATTTTAATCGATGCACTCGAATATCTCAAAAACAGCACTCTTCAAAAAGAAATGTTTCAAACAAAAATTGTAGGGTGTGAAGGGGGACATAAGATGGTAGCATTGGTTTGACCTTGGAAAGTCATTTGAAGGTCACATAAAAGTCACCTTCAATTTCTTAAATTGAACCCACTATTTTTCATTACATATTCTTGTAGCTTATCTCGAGAGCTTTCCAAAACACTACAGACAAATGTTTTTTCATTAAATACTTTTTGAGTTATAAGGCTTCAAAGTTTGCAGTATTTCGATATAAAATGCAAAATATCTCGTAAAATATTTAGTTTTCGGTAGTCTTACCCTAATACTTTTATGCACAGGATAATGAGACAAAACTATTGGTGCAAAGAAAACGTATGATTGTTTATGATAAAAAATGTGTAATTTGCAATGCACTTTTTGTTATAAACAATCATGCGTTTTCTTTGCACCAATAGTTTTGTCTCATTATCCTGTGCATAAAAGTATTAGGGTAAGACTACCGAAAACTAAATATTTTACGAGATATTTTGCATTTTATATCGAAGTACTGCAAACTTTGAAGCCTTATAACTCAAAAAGTATTTAATGAAAAAACATTTGTCTGTAGTGTTTTGGAAAGCTCTCGAGATAAGCTACAAGAATATGTAATGAAAAGTAGTGGGTTCAATTTAAGAAATTGAAGGTGACTTATGTGACCTTCAAATGACTTTCCAAGGTCAAACCAATGCTACCATCTTATGTCCCCCTTTACACCCTACAATTTTTGTTTGAAACATTTCTTTCTGAAGAGTTCTGTTTTCGAGATATTCGAGTGCATCGATTAAAATGGCCCACCGTGTATATATACAGCGTGTCCCAAAAGTATGGACACCTGATTTTCTTGGAAAATAAGCGTGCTAGAAAAAAACGTCAATAACAAAAGTTTCGGGAAATCAAGCGGTGCATCTAAGAGTGACCTTGAGTTTGACCTTGAGCTTGACCTTTTGGTCAAGGTTATTTGAAGGTCAAAGTGTTTTTTTTAAATGGGAACTCCTATTTTTGATTGTATATTCTTATAGCTGACCTCAAGAGCTTTCCAAAACACTATAATAAAATATTTTTACCTTAAGCATTTATCGAGTTATGAGGCTTCAAATCATTTCTTAATTTTACATAAACCGTAAAATATCTTGTAAAATATTCACTTTTCGATTATTTTACCTTAATATTTTTATGTACAAAATAATGAGAGGAATCAATTGGTGTAAAGAAAACATACAGTTGTTTTTAAGAAAAAATATGGAATTGTTAATTGCAAATTACATATTTTTTCTTAAAAACAACTATATGTTTTCTTTACATCAATTGATTCCTCTCATTATTTTGTACATAAAAGTGTTAAGGTAAAATAATCGAAAAATGAATTTTTACTAGCTATTTTAGGATGTAAAAGTTAAGAAATTATTTCAAGCCTCATAATTCGAAAAGTACTCAATGAAGAAATATTTTATTATAGTGTTCTGGAAAGCTCTCGAGTCAGCTATAAGAATATACAATCAAAAATAGGGATTCTCATTTTAAAAAAACACTTTGACCTTTAAATAACCTTGAAGGTCAAGCTCAAGGTCAAACTCAAGGTCACTCTTAGATGCACCGTTTGATTTCCCGAAACTTTTGTTATTGACGTTTTTTTCTAGCACGCTTATTTTCCAAGAAAATCAGGTGTGTCCATACTTTTGGGACATGCTGTATATATATATATATATATATATATATATATATATATATATATATTCAGGATGTCCATATATATATGGACTGTGAATTAATTTTGAGGTAGTTTTTGTAAATTCAAGGCTTTATTGTGAAAAATTGTGTACATTATTATTCTTTAAAGTATTGTCCATTGCTATCCACTACTTTTTCCCATTTTTTCTGGCAGCATACGGATTCCGCGTCGAAAGAACAATTCATCTTTTGATGCAATCCACCAATCGGTCCAATTTTTCGTATCTTCGTAAGATTGGAAGTGCTGCTTAGCCAGGCCATGTTCCATGGATCGGAACAAGTAGTAATCCAATGGAGCAATATCTAGTGAATATGGCGGGTGAGGTAAAACATCCCATTTCAGCGTTTCTAAGTATTTTTTGACTACACGAGCAACATGTGGTCGATCGTTGTCATGTTAAGAAATTATTCTATCGTGCCTTTGCTTGAATTGCGGCCGTTTTTCCTTCAATGCACGGCTCAAACGCATTAATTGTGTTTGGTAGCATTCACCAGTGATGGTTTCATTCGGTTGAAGCAGCTTATAGTACACAACACCAAGCTGATCCCACCAAATACAGAGCATGTGCATCGAATCATGAATATTCGGCCTTGCCATCGATGTTGATGCTTGAACGGGCAAACCCCACAATATTCTATGCTTAGGATTATCTTTAGCATATCCATTTTTCATCGCCAGTGATGATAAGATACAAAAAACCCTTTCTTTTTTGCCGTTGAAGCAATTGTTTGCACGTGAAAAACCGCCGTTCAACATCTCTCGACCTCAATTCATATGGCACCCAATTTCCTTGCTTTTGAATTATACTGAGTGCATTTAAACGTTTGGAAACTGTTGTGCAATCAACATTCAACGATTCAGTAAGTTCATCTTGCGTTTGACATGAATTTTGATCGAGTAATGCTTCCAATTCCTCATCTTCGAACTTTTTCGGTTGACCAGGGCGTTCTTTGTCAACTGTATCGGAATCACCACTTCTAAAACGTCGAAACCAATACTCATACGTTTTTATCGATGGATTATGTTCACTGTAAGTTTCCAACAGCACTCGATGACTTTCAGCAGTACTTTTCTTTGAATTAAACAGGAAAAGTAAAACTTCTCGCGAATGGTGTTTTGTTGGCTCGTAATTCGACATCTTCGGAGCTCAGAAAAAATATGTTGTTTACACTTCAGCAAAATGACATAATAAAAAGTAAAACCTAATGACAGAGCTTTGACATGAATATAGTTACAGAAGTATCCGATGCGATATAACATAAGTTACGTGATCTATTATAAGTCCCTCAAAATTAATTCACAGTCCTAGTATATATGTTAGGCTCAAAGACCGAAAACGCTCATTGGGCGGAAAAACCGGTCACAACGCGTTCAGACATCTCAGATTCAGCCATAGCGCGAAATTTGTGTCGTGGTAAAAACGCTCATAACGCCTTTTGGCATATTCAAAAAGGCCACAAAGCGAAATTCGTGTTGAGGTTCTTTTGATAATCGACCAAAACGCGTTCTGGCAATGTAAAAATGCCACAACACATTGTGCACGCCTATTGATGCAGCCATGACGCGATATAAGACAAATGTAATCTATTAACGGCCGACGGATTCACGTACATTCTTGTTCGTCATTTTATTTAGTATTGCTAGAGTGTGGACGTCGTTGGTTTGCGTGCTAATCATGTCTGATAAAAAGAAGATTTTTTATGATAAATTGAGTGAGTTGAAGAAAACAAGTACTGATCGGAGTGTTTTTATTGATAACGAGCGGTACGAAATATCTATTTCAAGAAGTAAAAGAAGCTCAATTACTTCAAAAAAATAAGCAATCGCTATCGTCAAAGCAGTATCGTCGTATAAAGCGATACGACATCTTAAAACCTGATGATACTGAAAAACTGATTGAAAGTGATTCTGAAGGCATGGACGATTCTAAAATTCGCTATTTCTGTAAAGCGGATGAGCTATTTGATGTATTGGAGGCAGCACATCTCAACGTGGGACATAAAAGAAAAAGAGATAGGTACATTTTTGAAATTTGACTAGATTTGATACATATTTACGTTATATTACGAATTCCAAGTTTTCGGTACAAGATTGATATCGCGAAGTATAGTTAGACATGTTAGGTATGTAGTAAAGGTAGGTTAATAATTTTTTTAGTTTCATAGTCAATAATTAATTAATAATTTGTGTTTGTTTAATATTTTTCTACATTATTTTTATTTATGTTTCAGTTATGGAAGCTGAACTAAAAAAGAAATATTGTAATGTTACTCCTCAAATAATAAATCTTTTTCTGTCTTTGTGTGAACAGTGTCAATTGAAGAAAAAGATACCAAAACATGGATTAGTTGTACAACTTATTTTATCTGACTACATGAACTCTCGATGTCAAGTGGACTTGATTGACATGCAGTCAGAGCCAGATAAAGATTATCGATTCATTATGAATTATCAAGATCATTTAACCAAATTCACAATTCTTCGTCCTCTTAAGACGAAGACTGCCGAGGAAGTGGCCTACCAACTCATAGACATATTTTGTTTATTCGGTGCCCCATGTATACTTCAAAGCGACAATGGTCGTGAATTCGTAAATAAAATAATTAAAAGTTTGGCCGATATGTGGCTTGGAATGAAGCTTGTTGGTAAACCGTGACATTCTCAGAGTCAGGGTTCGGTTGAAAGGTCGAACCAAGATATTCGTGACATGCTGGTAGCGTGGATGGCTGACAATAATACGGAAAAATGGTCTGAAGGACTCCGATTTATTCAAAGTAAGAAGAATCAAGCTCTCCATTCGGTAATTAAGACAAGTCCTTATGAGGCTATGTTTGGATCAGCGCAAAAGATCGGACTTGCGGATTCCTCTCTTTCCAGTGACATGTATTCTTCTATAGAAACTGAAGAAGAATTGGAACAACTTCTTTCTTCGGTAAAGAACAATGATCAAGATAAGACTGATGAAGAAGAAGTTAACGAACAATCTAGTGAAGATAAAAATATACCTCAAGCTGGAGAGGTTACACAAGAATCAGAAAAAAAAAAGATGACAGCAAAATTTATTGTGTGATTTGTGAAAACGAAACTTCAGGAGCTTACAAGTGTTCAGGATGTTATCAATATACGTTACTTGCGGAGAAAGTGATGAGAATAATGAGGGTTTCGGACAGAACGTTACTTGCAAGCTCTGTATAAGGAAGAACAGTATCAGCGTTGAGAGAGAATGTGCTAAATCTGGTCAAAAACAACAAGCACAAAAAATGATTTCATTTTCTAATTCAAAATTTTCTAAAGTTGATATTCGAACTAGTGTAGCGGTCAGAGTGCCTGACGTTGATAAAGGACGCGCAGCTCCCAGAAATGTCTTAGCTGTTGTTGTCGGAATTAATTCATCAGGGCTTTATCAATTAGGTACCAAAGAAGGGCTCCTTGAGCGATTTTATGCTCGCAATGAATTTATAGTTGCTGAGAGCAACTTTATTGAACTGCAAGACGTACTTCACTAACTCTTCATTCAGCTTTTATGTTGTCATCTGGAAGTAAGCAAGGTTTTATAAGCTGCCACTGTAAAAGATACTGCATTGACAAAAAATGCAAATGTCTCTCTAAAAATATAAAGTGCAATTCCAAATCTCAGTAATAGTTCTTGCAAAAATAAATAATTTATTAATAATTCCCACAAAGGGACCAATATATATTATAAACAATGTTTATTATTAGAAAAATATTAATTCATGAAGATTTCTATTACAAAATCTTCTTTGATTAAAAGAGCCATAGTATTAATAAAGATAACTGTATTTTCTTTTACAATTCTCAGTCAAAAAAACAATTTGTTTCATTTTAATTGAATTAACGTCGATTGTTATAACAAAATAACGTCAATTATTTTATTTTATGAATCCTTGATACGTATGAAAAAAAGTATTGTAGATTTTAGTCAAATAAAAAAATTTATTTGTAAATTGATTTTGTTAATTGATGGCAAATTTGTTTTTAATAAAAGAACTCTCACAAAGAGAGCAACTCTAAACAGTATTTTATATTATTATTAATAAAAAATACTGATGAATGAAAACTTCTATCACAGAAACTTAATTGTTTTAAATTTTATTGTAAGAGCTATAGAATTCATAAGGCTAACTGTTAACTTTCTTTATAAATTTTTTCTTTATAATTTTATTTTTATTGCATTATTGCTGTATCAATAAACGTCAAATTTTAAAGATTTAACTACCTTTTGTCCTTTTATGTCCCACGTTGAGATGTGCTGCCTTCAATACATCAAATAGCTCATCTGCCTTACAGAAATAGCGAATTTTAGAATCGTTCATACCTTCAGAACCACTTTCAATCAGTTTTTCAGTATCATCAAGTTTTAAGATGTCGTATCGCTTTATACGACGATACTGCTTTGATGATACTGATTGCTTATTTTTTCGAAGTAACTGAGCTTCTTTTACTTTTTGAAGTAATATTTCGTACCACATAATTAGCACGCAAACCAATAACGTCCACACTCTAGCAATACGCTAAATAAAATAACGAACAAGAATGTGCATGAATCCGTCGGCCGTTGATAGATTGTATTTGTCTTACATCGCGTCATGGCTGCATCAATAAGCGTCCACAACGCGTTGTGGCATTTTTACATTACCAGAACGCGTTTTGGTCGATTATCAAAAGAATCTCAACACGAATTTCGCTTTGTGGCCTTTTTGAATATACCTAAACGTGTTATGAGCGTTTTGGAAAGTGCCTCCATGCAAATTTCGCGTTGTGGCTGAATCTGAGAAGTCAGAACGCGTTGTGATCGGTTTTTTCGTTCAGTGAGCGTTTTCGGTCTTTGAGCCTAACATATATACAAGGTGTTTCAGACCACCCGTACCACCCATTTGAAAACTAGAGAAGTGATTATTTAAAAAAAGTAAAAACATTTTCTTTATAAATCGGGTGCGCTCTATCGAATGGTGATATTTTCAACTTCTTGAAATTGAAAAACAATTTGAATTAACAATTCCATATTTTTTCTTAAAAACAACTGTATGTTTTCTTTACACCAATTGATTCCGCTCATTATTTTGTACATAAAAGTATTAAAATAAGATAATCGAAAAATGAATATTTTGCAAGATATTTTATGATTTATGTAAAATTAAGAAATGATTTTAAGTCTCATAACTCTAAAAGCACTTCATGGAAAAATAATTTATTAGTGCTTTGGAAAGCTCTGGATGTAAGGCTACAAGAATATGCAATGAAAAAGAGGGGGTTCCATTTAAAAAAATGCACTTCCGGTCTGAATCGCCTATTTTCGGCCGGAACCAGAAGTTGAAAATATCACTATTCGATAGATCGCACTCGATTTATAAAGAAAATGTTTTCACTTTTTTTAAATAACCACTTCTAGTTTTTAAATGGGTGGTACAAGTGGTCTGAAACACTCTGTATATACATATATATATATATATATATATATATATATATATTTCTTTTTAATATTTAATATTGATTATTAATATTTTTATTATAAAACAATTAAAGAAAAAGGCTAGAAAATAAAATTACATTATAAAATTAATTACATTTTGAAATATAGTAATTGCTATAAAAAAAGTTGATATTGCGGGAATTCAAACTCATCGACGCAGTTACAAAAATTTAATGCGCTCAACTTAATTGCTAAATGTATTTAACGTATTGCTGGGCAGACGCTCAATTTTAAAAATTTTTGTTAATTTTTCAGAAACTAAGGCCTATGTACTCAAATTTTTTTCCACAAACTTTATTGCTTTTCCTCTTCAAGTGAACTATGATTCATTTTTTTGACGGCTATTGCCATCTTCGTGTTAATAATTACCCTAAAAAATTACCCTTTTAAAAAAAAGGTAAAAAAAGGTGCTAAGTCCGCATAAAAAATAGTATATGTATTTGCAAAATAGTGTATTATTAACTGTAAAAAACTACTGTATTGTATATCCTACAAAAGTAATGATATCAAAAAAGTTGCGCTAAGTGAAAATAAAAGCTTATAAAAATACTTTAACCAAAAAAAGTTATACAAAATAGCTGATTTAATTTTCTACATTATATCCTAGAAAAATAATGATATCCAAAAATTACGCTAATTGAAAATAAAAACTTAAAATAATTTACTAAAAAAAATTGTACAAAATAATTGTTTTAATTTCATACAAATAATATTAAAAAGTTGCGCCAACTGAATAAAAATTTTTACTATAAAATAGACATATTTCTTTTTTATTTTCAATATTAAAAGAAAAATGATATTAAATGAATTGTAATATATCTATTATAAAAAATCGAATTGAAAATATGAACAATCATATACATTGCAATAATCATATGCATATATTCTGAAAAGTTTAATTTAAAAAAAAAAAGAAAATGATAATACAAAATACAAAATTAAAAATTATTAAAAAAATTAAAAATTAGAAATTAATAAATAAAAAATAAAAATTTATATAAAAATTAAAAATTAATACATATAAAAAAATTTTAGTTAAAAAACTTAGCGCTGCTACGCTGAACAATGTGCTAATGAAATTAGCAGCGCTAAGTTTTTTAACTAAAATTTTTTTATATGTATTAATTTTTAATTTTTATATAAATTTTTATTTTTTAATTATTAATTTCTAATTTTTAATTTTTCTAATAATTTTTAATTTTGTATTTTGTATTATCATTTTCTTTTTTTTTTTAATTAAACTTTTCAGGATATATGCATATGATTATTGCAATGTATATGATTGTTCATATTTTCAATTCGATTTTTTATAATAGATATATTACAATTCATTTAATATCATTTTTCTTTTAATATTGAAAATAAAAAAGAAATATGTCTATTTTATAGTAAAAATTTTTATTCAGTTGGCGCAACTTTTTAATATTTGTATGAAATTAAAACAATTATTTTATACAATTTTTTTTAGTTAAATTATTTTAAGTTTTTATTTTCAATTAGCATAATTTTTGGATATCATTATTTTTCTAGGATATAATGTAGAAAATTAAATCAGCTATTTTGTATAACTTTTTTTGGTTAAAGTATTTTTATAAGCTTTTATTTTTATTACTTAGCGCAACTTTTTTGATATCATTATTTTTTTAGGATATACAATACAGTAGTTTTTTACAGTTAATAATACACTATTTTGCAAATACATATACTGTTTTTTACGCGGACTTAGCACCTTTTTTTATCTTTTTTTTAAAAGGGTAATTTTTTAGGGATATCACTCTTTTTTGTACTATATGTTAAACATCTCTAAATAAATGAGCAAAGAACCCGCCATCATCCCCGTCATATTTCATTAAAATTAGACGGTCTTCTTTGTTTACTATATAGATATTCAGATCTTTCAAACTTCTTTGCTACTTTTATTGCAAAAATAACGGATAACTACAAATCAATATGTCATTAGAAACCGTACACCTCTTTTCATTCAAAAACTAAGCATTTTAGAGAAAAACATTTTTGACAAAAATTGTATGATTTTGAGGGGAACATAAGATGGTGTCATTGGTTTGACCTCGGATGGCATCGTTAAGGTCAGGTCAAGGACACCTTTAATTTCTTAAATGGAATCACCTATTTTTTATTGCATATTCTTATAGCTTATGTCGAGAGCTTTCCAAAACACTATAATAAAGTATATTTTCATTGAGTACTTTTCGATTTATAAAACTTAAAATAAAATCTTAATTTTACATAAACTATAAAATATCTAGTAAAATATTTATTTCTCGATTATCTTACCTTAATACTTTTATGTACAAAATAATGAGAGGAATCAATTAGTGTAAAAAAAAACACACAGTTGTTTTTAAGTAAAAATATGTAATTGTTAATTGCAAATTACATATTTTTTCTTCGGAACTATGTGTTTCTTCGGAATTATGTGTTTTTTTTTTAGATTGATTCCTCTCATTAGTTTGTATATAAAAGTATTAAGGTAAGATAATCGAGAAATAAATATTTTACTAGATATTTTATAGTTTATGTAAAATTAAGATATTATATTAAACCTTATAAATCGAAAA